TTTTAAGTCTAAACTGTGTTTAAACAGACCGTGACAAAAATAGTTTTTACAGATGTTTTTGCAAACTTGACATTTGTAACGTTTTCTTTCTGGCTCAGCTTCAAGACCAGTTTGCAGCCACAGCCAGTAAAGAGTTTGACCCACTAGGACCTCTGCCTCACGGATGGGGTAAGTATCAGTGAGATTACAAAAATGTTTTAGCTGATGTTACTGACATGATAAATAAATGAAATGAAATGTGTTGATTTTCTCCTTCACAAGAAAAGAGAACTGACACCAATGGTAGAGTGTATTTTGTCCATCACCCAACTCGCAGGACACAGTGGGAAGACCCAAGGACCCAAGGGTGAGTGTATTTTGTGTTCTTGACAGTAGGGAGCGCTGATATGTCTAGAATAAAGTGACAAGTGAAAGGAATGTCACTTTGTTTTTGGCAGGCCCAAATTTCTGAGTGACACATTTTAGGTCTGTGTTTCAGCCATCAATTTGATGTAGTAGGTTAATTCTTTCCATTGCAGGACTCTCTGAAAAACTGTCCTAACCTCTTAGGAGCTTGGAGTTTGGAACAGGTCAACAGTGGCACAGCGATTGCATGCAGATGATCTGGCAACTGTGAAACTGGATTAAATGTGTAGAACATAATGACTGGATTCTGACATCTTTGACAGATGTGGAATTAGATAGTTCCTTCAGAAAGTCTTTTCTATTGACCACTAACTGCTCTTAAGTTTATGGTTTATGGATACACAAAGGGAAGGGTTTCTGTCTAAATGCTTTTTTGTAACCAGCTAATCACAGTTAAGTAGTACGGAGGAAACCCTGCTTTTAAGGACGAGTTTTTAAATCTTTGATTTCATTTATTCTTTTTTATTGATTTAACTTAAAATATACATTTTATGTTTCTTTTAAAAGGATTTCTTTTAATGGTTGCATTTCTCTGTGCTTACTTAACTTTATCCAGGCTGCTGAATGACAAGCCTCTGCCTGAGGGTTGGGAGATGAGGTTCACTGTGGATGGTATTCCCTACTTTGTAGATCACAATAGGCGAACAACAACCTACATTGACCCTCGCACAGGGAAATCCTCACTGTAAGTTTTGGTATCTTGGTATCTTGCTAGCAGCTGTACTTTTAAGCAGTAGCCTGAACACGAGTTGGATCAGATTCATTTAATGGAGACAGACACAACTGCACTTTAAAAGCTTCTGTAGCCTGTGAATCAAAAAAGTCTTTGGTTGTTTTTATATATGTATTTATAATTGTAATTGAGGTCATTCTCAACATAAGCAAACAACTCGGGAGTTTGACTGAGACCTACTCCAATGGTCTCTGTTCTGTTGTTCTGGTCCGTACCTGGGTGTGTTACAGTGCTTACATTTGCATGAACAAGCATCATGAAAGGGAGGGGGG